TGTTAGAAATTAGTGATTATTCATCACCTTTTGACACTAAGCATAACTTCTAAATCCACAAGTGTCTTCTAGTTAAACTTGACACAAGATAGACACTAAGCAAGCTTTGTTTATATCCAAATGTCTTTGATTTTTCTATGTATCATTATGCATGTAACCCCTTGTCCTCTATATATATGTGTGTAAAGAAGAAACAAAGAGATGTGAGATCAATAAAAAAATAAGAACACATTAATAAGAAACGCAAAATGAAGACTCAAACTCGTGACTCATTAGCCAAAACCAAACCTACTACCAATATGCCACTGTAACGTTTGTTAAAATAGAAGAAATGATTTATATATAATACCATTGAGCCTTTAGCAAATTTGGTCTTCTTGCATCTCTAGCAATTTTCGTCAATCATATTTATAAAAATAACTAACTTTTAAATGTAGACAAATTGAATCTGCTAAGTTGTCTGATCGACAAGCGTTTTTCAGACACAACCATGCGTCAATCCATGTATTCGCTCATGAGTGTCACCACTTTTGTTATAACAATTTTTTGCTAATAAGTGTTTAATCATATTTAAGATTTGGATTTTGTTTGTTTATCAATTAGCTTCCAAAATCTCTATTTATGATTTTCTTAATAAAAAATAGATACATGGTTTAAAACCTTAATATAACCGATAGTAAAATTAAACCGGTCGGTTCAACTTTAGGAATAAACCAAAAAAATTGGATTGAGCTGTGGGGTCCAACCAACCGAACCACTACTGTATTCGATCCAAATTCACCAAACTCAAAAGTCTTGACTTAATAATTTTAACAAACCAAACTCAAAATATTTGATTTAATAATTTAAATAATATAGTTTTGAATATTTTAATTTAATAATATAAACAAACCAAACTCATAAGATTATACTTATAACTTAAATATATGACAAAAAAGAGATATTGACTTAATAATTTAGATATCAATGGTTTTTATTAATAGACCAATTCAACTGGCTAAACCACTATAAAGACTCCACCACACACATCAGCCACTTTTACTACAGTTACTCCTATCCCTGCCGTTGCCACTTCCTCCGCTTCTCCTTCTGCCTCCGTTAAGGCTGCTTTCGCCACCACCATAACTCTCCATACTACAATGTAAGTTAATATTACGTTCATGAGCAGCAAGAATGGCCACGTTTTAAGCTATCTGATTCCGTAACATCATATTCTCCAAGGCAAGATCAAGCCTCAGTTCATTAGAGCTCGTGAAGCCATCATACATGAACTGTTTCAGATCATATGGAGGAAACCAAGGATTTGTGGCTATTCCATTTCCACCATATTGTCTCGGACCATATGGGAACACAGGTTGACCATGATAGAGTGGTGCAGGTATACTACCTATGGGCATGGTCGGTGGAACCAAGTTAGGGAAGGATCCGAGATCAATTGGTGGTAGTTCTTCTTGTTCATTATCATACTCTTCATCAATCATATCGTCGTCAAGCATGAAATCTTGATTTGGAGGGCCACTTGCATACAACCATTGACCTTGTTCAACGTTTCTACAATTTGGACATTGCATCTTGTATTTCGCATTAAAAGTAGAACCAATACAATCTGTAGAAACTTGTCAACGAAACTCGTTTGTTAGATATCACGTATGAAAACCAAAACTTGATATATACAAAAACACAAATCATGTTATTAATTTTTGAATAAAGATTTGAGTTAATGGATGATGTATCAAATAAACAAGGTGGAGAGTTAGGGAGAGAGATCATATATCATAATTCAATATCTCATAACAACAATTCTCTCAAAGCATGACTTAATTATATATGTCACAATAAAAAGCTACAAAACACATAATATGTACAAGATTTGTGAAATTATATAAGGATCTGCAAACGAAACAAAAAAGTTTCATTAGAACAAAACAAAGAATATTTGGTGCTCGTTCACACTACACAAAAATAGAAAATTATCAAGGTGAAACTCGTGCTGACAACACAACTTCACAACAGTTCGATCATTGTTCTTATTGCCAAGAGGCTCGACACAAATAGAATAGTCCTCGTCATCATCGAGTTCGGGTTTGGGTTCGGATTCAAAATTGAGATCGAAAGCGATTTCCTTGCCTTTGTCAACGTTTTCTCCTAACCCATTAAACATAGTATTCCTTATGAAAATAAATCTCAAACTATCTTATT